ATGCCCCCCCCCCCCCACTGGGGCGAAGGTTAAATATTGACCTAGAGTAACCAAATTTGCACAGGGGCGAGACCTCCAGGGGGGGGCCACCTACCCACCAAATTTGGTATTTCTAAGTGCCATAGGAGCCAATCGCGAGGGGGGTCGCATCGCCCCCCCCCCCCCCCCCAGGCTGCGTTATGAAAAATGCCCTGCCAGGGTGAGGGTTAACCCTCGCCGGACCTATTGGTTTTCTACATACGCGCCGGCCGAGGGGGGGGGGGCGGGTACGACCAGAGGTCGATAAAATGCTTGGAGTTGCTCCAACGAACATCTTAGTCCCACCACTGTCTCCAACTTAGCCCTCGCCTGGCGGGGGGGGGGAGCAGCCTCCCTAAGTTTTTTTCGCGAATAGCGTAAAAGTTGGTGTCGCGTAGCGCCGCAAAATTTGGCACAACGTCTGGGAATGAGCCTTTTGCTACCTATCCTGAAAATTCACTGCCATCCGCCGCGTCGGCACACCGGTATCTCCTCACCTTCTCCCCACACGGCCTCGACTCCCCAACTCACACCATCACACTGATCACACTACTGCATACGGTGACCGGTCGCACGGTGGATCTGAATGCCTACGTTTGCGCGCCAAAGTCTGAAACAACTAACGATTATCATCAGCTTAGAGATGTTGAAATTTAGCATTTTAAAGCTTCTATATTGTATTTGTATTTGACAATAGCAGACACTCTACAGCAACGCGTAGCTTTTACGTGTCCTTAGTCAGAGATGAATAAAAGAGCAAGGCAATGATGTCGCATAAACACACACACAATGACACACACGCACACACAGTACACACAGTCACGCATACAAGTCATCGCCGAGTAAAAATACGTTTCACAGCTCGTTTAAATGCCGCGGGGTCTAGATTTCTCGCGTCTCCCGGCATGGAGTTGAGGAGACTAGCAGCGCGGTACTGAAAACAGCGCTGCCCCGTCGCTGTGCGCACGGCTGAGAGGCGCAAACAGTTGTCCTGTCTAGTCGAACGCTCATCATTCCTAGTGTCAGCATGGGTATGTAAAAGCATGGCAAGCTCGGCGGGTTCTTGATATAAAATGGCTTTGTGAGCAGCAATCGCTGTCTGCATATCACACATTTGCCGAGGCGTGTGCAGGTGCAGGTCATCCCGCGCGCGAGACACATGGTCGAACTTCTTTAGCCCCGTTACCACTCTCGCGGCAAAATTGACTACTTTAAGCAGTCTAGTATCGTTTTTAGACGAGCCGTTGCCATACACCGAGATACAATATCTCACGCGCGAGATGACCAGCCCCTGCACAATGGTTAACATCACATGCCGCGGGAGGAAGTGTCTCAGGTGGCGGAGACCTATCAGGAGGCCGACGCACTTTTGAACCACGTCACTGACGTGAACGTCCCAGCTGAGGTGACGGTCAAACGTCACACCGAGGTTTTTAACGCTAGGGCTCTCCTGAATGGTCTCGCCACCGACCCGTACGCTGACAGGTGGTAGGTTACGGGTGTTCTGGCGGGTGCCAAGGAGAAGGATTTCCGTTTTGGATTCGTTGAGCTTAAGGCCGTGGGCATGGAACCACGATGCTAAAGAAGACAGGGTGGACTCCATGCGCAGGATGAGATCAGGAAGGTTGCGTTTGACATCGGATAGGAGGATTTGGGTGTCGTCAGCGTACTGGGTCACATGAGCGTCCGGCGCGTGCAAGCTGAGATCATTGGAGAAGATTGTGAACAACAAAGGACCAAGGGCGGATCCCTGGAAGACTCCCATGGTGTTGGGAAGAGGCTTGGAAACTACTCTGTCACCGGTAGAGGAAGAGATGCAGACAGACTGAGTATGACCACTGAGATAAGATGAAAACCATGAAGGATCGATACCATAAAGCTGAAGTTTGGTTAGGAGTTGGTCGTGAGGGATAACATCGAAACATTTACTGAGGTCGAGGAGGCACAACAGTGAGACATGACCGTGGTCCATGTTCGAAAAGATACGGTTCGTGACGGAAAGGAGTGCGGTTTCAGTGGAATGGTGGCGGCGGAAACCATGCTGGGACGGGGAGAGGAGATGGTTATCGGACATGAAGGCAAACAGCTGCCGCTGTACCAGCCGTTCAACTGTTTTTGCCATGATGGGAACAATGGATATAGGACGGTAGTTTGAGACAAGGGTAGGATCACCGGATTTGTAGATAGGATGAACCAGGGAGTGCTTCCAGGAATCGGGAAAGTCACAGGAGGTAAGGCAGGTATTGACAATATGGAGTAGGATGGGACCTATGGCATCAAAACAAAGGAGAAGGATGCGAATACATATACCATCAGGCCCGCACGCACCAGAACGCTTCATGGAGAACACTACCTCCCGCAGCTCGGCCAGCGTGACAGCAGCGACACGAAAGCCGCAGGCACCAACTCGCGGTAGGCGACAAGGTACATCGGGAGGCACCCCGCGGCTAGAAAGATCGGCAGCAAATTCAATTCAAAAGTTTATATCTGTGCTTTAACGCACTTGTCCGTATTGATTGAGAAAAGAGCGGACTTTTTATCGTATTACCTAATGCGAAGTAACGCAATCGAAGTGTGATTTCGGTCCACTGTGCGTTTTCAGGCGCGCTCGATAAAACGCCCAGGCCTGGAGAAAGTTGGAAGGGTGATTTTCTGATCCTCCTTACCACAAAATGACCCTAAGCGAAAAAATGCCCGCAGGGCGCTGCCAACGCGTGCCAGCGGCCCTGCTAGTAAGGGCGAAAATCAATGTATGTGTATGCGGAGCACACCCTTAGCGCTATGATGGCTCCTTGGAGACACCTGGAGAAACCTGTCCCGGCAGAAGGGTCAGGTCCCTCGCAGACGGCGCGGCACGGCGAGAGCTCAGCGGGTGGCCTAGCCGGAAAGAGGATAAAAATAGCCGACTGGCCCGACCCAGCGAGGGGTGACCGAAGGGTGACCAGGAGTGAATGAGGGAACATACACGCGGTACTTACCGAGCAGCCGATAACAGCACCGGACGATTAGAAAGTCATAAGTCAATGCTGTATTTTAGGCGTAAGGAAGCATCCATGTAGACGGGCGGACTGTCTCCAGCTCTTCGAAGCATTGCTAATATCTTGCTCCAACGGGCGTTGGCACGTTGGAAGTTTTATCGACCACTGGGTACGACCCCCCCCTCGCCGTTTCGCCCCTGGTGGAGCTAGCGCGTCGCGGAAAAAACGAGCGTGTGCGCCGTTACGAGACGCAGAGATTGGTACCCGATTTTAAGGTCCTAGGTCAACCGGTGACCTCTGAGGTCAGGTCAAGTGCCCCAAGGTACGGTTCAGTTTTTGGTGAATAACTTCGCAAAAAACGGCCGCAAAGCGCCGATTTTGGCAGCATCGTGTTCGCCTCGACCAGGCGCGTCGAATGATATACTTTTTGTCCGGGTCAGGTCAACTTGGGGTGTTGGCCTCAGGTCAAGGTCAGGTCAGCACCCCCAGGTCACGAAGTTGGTCGAAAGAGGTCATGTCGCATGTCATTCGATTCGGCAGGCCTTCCTGAGTCCATTGGTGCCTTCCCCGACTCGCTAGCTCAATTTGATCAAGAGTTATTGACGAAAAACTAATTTGACCTTGATGACGTCATAAATGACGTCACGCAAGGTCAACATTGCAAAAGTGACGCATCTAACCTTGCAAGGAGTGCATCAAATCACGATTCTGTGTGCTTGAGATAGTTGGAGATCGTTCCCGGCGCCAGAATAGCAGTTTTCATTTTTCCCCATTGACTTATAATGGTGAGGTCACGAAAATGACCTGACCTCATATGACCTTTAGGAAAAATCCGAGATATACAAGTTGTGGGACTCATAATGGATACTAGATCCTGCAAGTTTCATTTCCCTGTGACATCTCCTCTGGCAGTGAGGGCGTTGCGAAGTTGCGACATCTGAAGACCGTGCAGAGGTTCACTTATGACGTCATAGGTCAGTGACCTGACCTGACCCAAAAATGCGGTTGGTGTCAAAAGATGCGGCTTGGATCAAAGGTCAGGTATGCCAAGTTTCAGCTCTCTATCGCCAGCGTGTTCGGAGCTATCGCGAAAAAAACCCTATGGGGGGGGGGCGGCACCCGCCCCCCCCCCCCTCGGCCGGCGAGGGTTAAGAGGTAGTGGCAAAATTCTGTATCTTACGATCTTACTGACGGTGATGGCCAACGCCTTTGTCGAATGTGTCCCTGGTGCGGTCGTGCATCTGCTCCAGCTAAATTTCTCTCGCTAGATGTCACTACAAACGAACGCCTGAAAGATGCTGTGCCGCAAGACAGTGATAGTTTAGCTCCTCAAAAGATGGCGCTAGCTGTACCACTACGCTGTGTAATAGCCTTTCCCCGCACTGGCGTATTTCCTGTTTCTTCACTTGGATCTCTGAAATCTGAATCGATTTCAGATTTGAACTAATCGATGTGCATGTCTGATGCCGGGAGGATCTGCATTGACTGTTACAACCCAGCACCAAACTATTCACGTCATAGCCTGGGCGGTTTCGGTAAGTACTTACTTGTTGTACATACAGGTTCCTTTATTTTTAAGTCCACAGAGACGTTTCAGTGACGTAACCAGCGCATTTCATAAGGCATTATTCATCATTGGCTTTAATTCAAACTTCCCAAACTTTTGATTCTTTTCACCGCCCGAGTTGATTGAAGCTTAGCAATCATGGGGGGGGGGGGGATACATACCAAGCTATCAGTTTGAGTATTTGCATTCTGTGTTGCTCTATTGTAACACTGTCTTTAAAGTGGCCTAATTTATTTGATGCCCCTTCCCCATCCAGCACTTATTCCGAAAAGAAGTTATTCGCTCAATGTCCTCCCGAAACGTCATCAACGTAGCTCAAATACCAAACCAGTCATTGTTGGAACATGAGATATCGGCAACAGTCTTGCTTGGAGCCATGCATGTCAAAATGCATCACCAGAAAACAGACGTTTTCTTCGAATGCAGCAGAAAACAGCTCAAAAACTAGTTCTGTATATTGGGCTTTGCTGAAATATAATAGTAGTAAAACACATAACACGATTTGTGGGGCGGCGTCGGGCCGCGAGCAGCCTTCATTGCGGACGGTTCCTTGCCGATGGAAGACCGAACGAAGCGAAAAATCTAGCCGACGCGACACGACAGACTGTGTGACCAGCAGAGGCGGTTGAAAACGGTGCGGACGCGGCACAGAAGGCACAAGCCCCACGTGAGACGCCCGGACGGAAACAGCGAACAGTAGCGTGCACACAGCGCCAGAGCGCGCAAAGACCGCGCCGGTGACGATAAAACGGGCGTGCGGCGGTCCAGCGGACGCTGCAGACGCTTCACACCTGGCGAGCACAGCATGAACTAGAGCTTCTTCACCTCGCCGCTGGCGCGCAAGCCGACACATCCAGACGCCAACATTGCAGCAGACTTCAGTAAAATACGTTTTACAACACATGTGAAAATAGCGGGCTTCCAACGGCAGCGCCCCAAAGCGGCGCACCTGCCCGACAGCCGCCTCCGCGCTCCGCAGAGCGGCCGGCAGCGCAGGCACAACACTCATAGGAACTCGCATTCATTCTTTCACAATCACGCTTCGATTCACGCACTCATCGCACAATCACTCACGCACTATTCGCACACTTCCTTGGGCGCACGCGCACCACAGTGCAGGGCCAGCGCCCGAGCCCAGCAGTTCTTCGCAGCAATTCACTGCTTCGATGCGACCACGTATCACAAGCGTTTGTGTGTTGACGCGCCTTGCAGGCCATTGTTCGTCACTAGCGCAAATTCGGTGTCAGCGAGCACCAAACGGGGTTCGTGTTTTTCTCCTCGGGAGCTCATATGGCCTCGGAGGCAGCCGCTGGCTCGAGGCCCGACCCCAGCAGGTCTCCCGTTTCCACGTGCGCCGCGGGCTCGTCCACGTGGTCGCCGTTCTCGTGCGGGGCCCCGTTCTCGGTCGGTGAGCCGTTCACGTTGGCCGGTGCGTCTCCAGCGCCATCGGACGGCAGTTTGTCGGACTCCGACACACAGTCGGCCACGGGTGGCAGCTCCGACTCCGCGGCCTTTGCAGGCTCCTTGGTGGGTGATTTGGCCTTGCCTGTTTTGCTGGCGGCGGCGCCCGGCTTGGTGCGGCCGATCGAGAGTCGGTGGCCGGCCGGTTTCGCCGCCGTGGTGGTTGGCTTCTTGGCTCCGGCGGCTGCGAAAACATAGATGATAGAGTCAGCTAAACGGATTTAGACATTACCAATTTGCCACACCAATGACAATATTTTTTTTTCATTTCTAGCCATTCGGAATGCCTCACGATCGTAACAAGCAAACGTAAATAGCACCTCAACGGTTGATGGATATGTTCTGGTAGTGACTGACATGCAGCTGAAGTATTAACACATTTTACAGGAATATATATTTCGATAAAGTGTGCGAATGAAGCAAAACGAAACAAGAAATCAAGGGACTAGCACCGCTCACTCCCAAAACTACCAGCCGTATCACTCACCGTTCGCCGGCGCCGCTGTCGAAGCCGCAGCCGCCCGGGCCGCCGCGCGGGACGCCATGGTTCCCGTCACCTTGCTGGCCGCCGCAGTCATCTTCACCTCCGCCGGCTTCTTCGGGCCCGCCCCGTTAGTAGTGGCTGCGCGCGGGGTCGGCGCCACTCGTCCCGGGGTGGTCTTAGTGGCCGCGCCCGGCGCTGGGCGAGCGGGCTTTGGTGCAGCGGTCCTCGCCGAGGTGGGTTTCGGCGCGGCGGGTTTGGCTGCGGCCGGTTTGGTGGGGGATTTGTGTGCAGTGGTGGCCGTGGTGCGTGCCGCGGTGGTAGCGGGACGGGTGGTGCCCGAGGCTGACCGGGCAGTGGGGGCCTTGGGAGCGCCGCTGGCGGCAGGGCGGGCGGCCGTCGTCCGCGCCGTGGAGGGAGCCGCGCCCACCCGACTGGCAGCCGTCTTTGTAGGAGAGGTGGTCGCCCTCGCAGCACCCACTACCGGCTTGGCGGCGGCTGTGGTCGTTTTGGTCCCCGTGCCAGAGGCCGTTTTCGACAAAGCCGGTCGGGCGGCGGTCGTCTTGGCCGCGGCCGGTCGCGGAGCTGCGGTCGAAGCAGCCGGCTTGGGCGCAGGTTTCGAAGCGGCGGTGCGAGCCGCCGTTGTCGCCGTCGGCTTGGGACTCGCCTTGGCAGCAGCCGGAGCCTTCGCCGCCAGCGTCTTTGTAGGAGAGGTCCGCGCGGCCGCTCCCACCTTAGCGGCAGTGCGAGCAGTGGCAGGAGACGCGGGTTTCGCCGCCGTGCCAGTCGTCGGCCGGGTAGACTTGGTCGCAGTCGGCTTGGCCTTGCTGGCGGTGGCACCGGGTTTGGTTTTGGTCGCAGCGGCGGCAGATTTGGGCTTGTCGGCGGGTTTCTTCTCCGCAGTGTCTCCTGTTGAGCCGGTGACTGTGGCAGCCACAGCAGCAGCGGCGCCGGCGGCGGAGGCCAGGACGGCGCCCACAGTAGCGGCGGCCGCCTCACGCAGACCGGCTGTTTCCTCGGCTGCCGTCTCCGCGGCACTCTCTAGCTGCTCGGACCCGGACTGAGCCGTCTCCTCCGCCTTCTTAACCGCCTGTTCAGCCATATCCTCAGCCTTCCCAGTCGCCTGCTCCGTCATGTCCTCGGCCTTCTCAACAGCGTTTTCAACCTTCTCCGCCGCTTGTTCGGACAAGGTGTCTGCCTTCTCAGCCACCTGTTCTGCCTTCTCCGCCGCCTGTTCCGCTACGTCCTCCGCCTGGCCAGACGACTGTTCCAGCAGGTTCTCCGCCTTTCCTGCAGCCTGTTCCAAGAAGTCCTCCGCCTTCCCTGCAGTCTGCTCCGCAGATTCCGCTGCCTGCTCTGCCATGTCGTTTGCCTGCCCCGCCGCCTGTTCCAAGAAGTCCTCCGCCTTCCCTGCAGCCTGTTTCGCAGATTCCGCTGCCTGCTCTGCCATGACGTTCGCCTGTCCCGCCGCCTGTTCCAAGAAGTTATCCGCCTTCCCTGCAGCCTGTTCCGCAGATTCCGCTGCCTGTTCCGTCATATCGTTTGCCTGCCCCGCCGCCTGTTCCAAGAAGGTCTCCGCCTTCCCCGCCGCTTCTTCCACAGTGTCGTTTGCCTCCCCCGCCGCCTGCTGCAAGAAGTCCTCCGCCTGTCCAGCAGAGTGCTCCGCAGAGTCTGCGGCTGAAGAAGTGACGCGCTCCGCCTGATCAGCGGCTGACTGTAGCGTCTCCTCCAGTCCTCGCGCGGCGGAGTCTGCCGCACCCTCCACCTTCGCCAGTCCAGCGTTGGCCGCATCGCCAGCCGCATTGAGCGCATCATTTGTCGCCTCCTGCGCCTCCTCAGCGCCTTCCTGCACTGCCGAGTCGGCTTCGGCCGCTTTGGCGGCGGCCGCCTCCTGCGCGGATGTCAGACTTTCCTCGATCTGGTGGACCAGCGCAGACGCTCCCTCGCTCAGCTGGGAGAGGAGGCCGGGCTGTTCAGACGGCGGCTGGGGTGCTGCGTCTCCAGCCTTCTCCTCTCCAGCGTCCGCCGAGGGCTCAGCCGCGGAGACGCGCGCCATGCCCTCCTGGATGCCCTCCTGAATGCCCTCCTGGATCTGATGCGCCAGAGAAGACACACCGCCAGACAGCTGTGAGAAAAAGTCGCCGCCCTCTCCGGCAGATGGCTCCTTTGTAGGCTCCGCCACCGCGTCCGTCGCTGCGTCCCCGGCCTTCTCAGGCTCGCCAGACGTGTACGCAGCAGTGACCGAGTCCTGAACCTGGTGGACAAAGTCCGTGACGCCGGCGCTGAACTGAGACAGCAGGTCCACGCCCTGGTCCTGCTTCCCCTCGGTGTTCTCGGAAGTCTGCTCGGACACCGGCGCCGCGTCCTGAGTCTCACCGGTAGGTTGTTCGGCAGCCGGATTGGCGGCGTGGTCCATACCCTCCTGAATGCCCTCCTGAATGCCCCTCTGGATTTGTTGTGTCAGTGACGAGACGCCTTCTCCGAGCTGGGAGAAGAAGTCGGTATCCTGGCCCTCAGCCGGTTGCTCCGTCGCCTCTCCTGCGGGTGGCTTAGACGACTCCTCAGTCCGCAGCTCAGCCTGCTGTTCAGCCATCTTCTCCGCCGACCTCTCGGCGACAGCAGCGATACTCTCCTCCAGCTGCTCCGCGAACGCAGAGATCCCGCCACTCAGACGAGCCAGGATCTCATCCGTCGACGACGTCCCGCCAGCCTCGGCCACGCCCTCCTGGCCGTACTCGTACTCCTCTGCCGGGACGGCAGCGGCGGCGGGCGGCTGGCCGGGCACGAACTCTGCCGCGCCGGGGTTCAGGTCGTGTCCGGCGGGCGTGAACTCGGCAGCAGCGGGGTTCAGGGGCGAGCCGGGCTCGGCACCTCCTCCGGACTCCATGGCGCAGGCTCCGGAGGCCACAGGCGTCACCGACACGGGCGTCTGTGGACAGAGAGACAGAGATCAGTACCGACTCCAGAGGTTTCTGTCATCGTCACAGGCGTCTAGCGAAGGGTCAGCGGGGAACGGATAGTTATGTGTTTGACAGTCAGCCACACACATCAGTCTGTAATCCACTCAATATCATGGACTTCACAGAAGCATATATCACCGCTGAGACTCAGCGATAAAGGGAACATCTATCTCGATTGGCGATACTGTTCGACAGGGGATTACCATTTAAATTGGGTGGTCTCAAGGCCATTGACATCGAAGTTGTAAATGACCTGATACAATCAGATTATCTGACAATGACTGTTTCACTGGGCCACCAATATCGAACAAAAATACTTTATTTGAAGAGCCCATTATCGATTTTCACACTTCACATAACTACAAACAATACAATACCCTATAACACAAATCACCACACCCTTCATATCACCGCCCCTACCAAAAAAGCCCCGTCACCCACTCCCCCCTCTCTCACACACACAACAGAACATCTGTGACCAATCACAAAAAAAGCGACACCGTCCACCGCAAAAACCACCCTCCTATGTTCACAGGCAGGGTGCAGGCCTGCAGAGAGAAGCGGGTCGACCCCACCCGGGCCCGAGCGGGGGCGGGCGCGCTCTAGCTAGACACGGACAAAGCAGCGACATGTCTGACCGAGCCGCGGCGCACCGCGGGGGTGGCGAATGCGGCGCACGAGCGCCAAAAAAGGCGCGTCTCTCGGGACGAGCAGCGCGATAGAATACGGAGAGCGTGATGCCGGGATGGGGAGCGACCGAGAGACGTAAACGGAGCGAAGCCATAGACCGGCCACCAAAACGGGTGGAGATTTATCGTGACAGGGTGACTCAGAGGTAGACAGGTTACCAGCAGAATAGACAGGTTACTTGCAGAATTAGATGCGGGCAAGCGTGGCGGTTACCTGTGGTAGGGGTCGGTGTTTTGTTGTAAGCCAACTAGATAGCACAACAGCAACAAGTAGGTAGGAAATGAGCATTACCCTTTCACTTGACATCTTTCTCTGACTGACCCCTTCTGCAGCTCGAACATCTCTGACCCAAACTGTCCTCTCTTACCCACACACCCTCTCTGACCCCACAGCCTCCCTCCCTGGCCCCACAGCCTCCCTCCCTGACCCCACGGCCGCCCTCACTGATCCCACACCCGCCCTCCCTGACCCCACAGCCACCCCCCTCTGACCCCACAGCCAATCTCCCTGTCCAACAGCCGACCTCCCTGACCCCACAGCCCACAGGAGACCTCCCTAACCCAACACCCTCCTTGCCTCCACACACCCGCCCTCCCTGACCCCACGGCCGCCCTCTCTGACCTTGGTCACCGCTCCGCTGGGACTGACGTCGACGTAGCTCCACTGGGCGTCCTCCTCGCTGCTCGAGTCGTCGTCGTCGTCTTCCACTACGTCACTGTCCACCTCCTGGAGACCGTCGATCTCGGATAGCACGTTATCCACTGAAACACAAAAGAAAAAGTCAGCTCATGGTGCGACAGGGAAGAAGCTTTTAAGCGAGTGACGACCAGCGTCTGGAATCCATGACACACAGTGTTAGGATACGTCAATGTATATGGGTCAGGGAACATCATTCAAGCCGTAGTCCCTCTTGTTGCGGAGCATTTTAAATAAGAGGGTTCATGAGCTGCGCGAATACATCAGGCCGCTCATACGTGATACAGAAGTCAAACATGCTCAATAATTAACGTGGGTGGGGTTAGGGGGGGGGGGGAAGCAATCCTTTTCCAGGGCATAAACGCTCGACGACAACAGTGAACAGTGGCCTTGCTGTGATATGAAGCGACGCTGTTCCTCGCCAGCCAAGATCTGGTCCCTGTTGCTCGATATGACAGCACCTGGTTATTCCACCTCATCCTACTTGCTACATACATAATTCCACAGACGCATTGTGCAAACGTCAGGTCCTATTCTGCGCAGCACTGCAGTTTAATATATTCACCACACGATTCCCAAACCTGACCGAAACCGCAAAGGATCCACAATCCAATCCTCCATCTCTCCAAGCGCACTTACTTTTTGATTAAATTTGCCTCCCCACATCAACCAAAAGCAGCGAGAAAGGTCCAGCCTCCTTCCACTACAAATCTGCATTGTCCTACCATCATTTCCAACTCCCACGTCAAAATATCTGCGTTCTGAGGTCAGCCTCCGTCCTGCCCCACTAGCTGAGCTCCGACATCAAACGGCGACCGACGGGCCGGTAACGTACCGACATTCACCCCACATCCGCCGGGGAGGGGGAGGGGAGGGGGGCGGAGAGGTGACCTTCACAACTCGGCTCACCTGTGGTCAGCACGGGGGCGTGGGGAGGGGGAGGGAGAGGGGGAGCGGCGGAGAGATGGGGCTGCACGACCGCTGCACACTGGGCCGGGGGTCCGGAAAAGTGCTAGAAATTATTTGTGATTGAGTTGTTGATCTCAGTGACAAGCAAACATGCTAAAAACGAAGTGGGGCTGCTCAACCCTCGCCGGACCTATTGTCGGACCCCCCACCCCCTCGGCCGGCCGAGGGGGGAGGGTTGGTACGACCCCTTTTTGCCGTTTCGCCCCTAATGGAGTTAGAGCCTCGCGGAAAAAACAAGCGTGTGCGCCGTTTCAAGGCGGAACGATTGATACCCGATTTTAAGGTCCCAGGTCAACCGGTAACCTCTGAGGTGAAGTCAAAAAGCCCAAGGTAGGGTTTGGTTTTTGGCAAATAATTTCGCATGACCGGTGTGACGTCATAAATGACGTCACGGAAGGTCAAAAATGCAAAAGTAAAGCATCGGATCTTGCAAGGAATGCACGAAATCACGATTCCGTGTGCTTGAGATAGTTTGAAATCATTCCATGCGCAAAAACAACAGTTTCCTTATTTCCCCATCCACTTTTAATGGTGAGGTCACGTGACCTCGAAGAGTAGCAGGCATTAGCAAAAATTGCGAGTAGGGCATGACAGAAAGATGATTGGTGGTTTGTATGGCATGGCCATTTTTAACGGCTCGAAATAACATTTCTCAAAAAGTCTAACTAAAGAGCAAGTTGTTGTTGATTATCACTGACTTGTGTTTAGGGGTTAATAATGACTGAATTTTTTAGTTTGGCCCAGAAATGTTGACAGCATTGTGTGCGTTGATCAATTCTGAGCTCAGGGACATATATTTCATTTAGATCAAAAGCGTTTGTTTTTCACAACTTCCAGCGTTTTAAAGAGCGCCGGGCCTTCAGTAGAGCGGCGAGGTGACAATTGCCCCTACATCATGTGGTTTACTGGCGCATATCTCGAAAAGTAGCAGCGAAAAGCAGCAAAGCACCTATATGGAACAAAAGATGAGTAATCATAGGCTAGTATGAAATGTTCATTTTTAGCCGCTCGAAATAACGTTTTTATAAAAGTCTAATAAAAAAATTGGATATGATTTTAAATTGCGTCTTGCAGCTGCTTGCAAACAGCTAGCTTATCTTGCAGAAAAGCGATGCAATATGTCAGAATGATGTTGGCACAGTGAACAACAGTGCCCTGAACTAGTCTGACAGGAAATTTCGTTCAAAACGACGATTGGTCAACTAATAAATTACCACTAAAGTTCATCATTAAAATCGGTAAATGTGGTGGCCTATAGAGAGTCTAAATTGTCTTGTGTTTGGTGACAACTGACAACCTCAATTTTGACCTTAGGGCAAAACTAGCATCGGAATCGTATTCTTCGATCAATTTGGGATTAAATGATACCTATTTTGTTCATATTGCGGACAGTCAGTTTGGGGGGAATTTCTAGCGCTTTTTCAGGCTGCCGGCCTACAGTGCGCTGCTTGCCGTACAATACCGTATAGAAGGCAGCCGCGCAGGCGGCAAGCGAAGGCATAAAATAGAATCAGGCTTGGCCGAGAAACGCCAAAATAATGACCATAGATAAGACGGAAGTCGAATGGTGGTCGGGTTGACATATGTAAATAAGCACTGAGACGAGAAGCGATGATAAATTTCCCAGCCATTGATGATAAAAGAGGAAACGCATCACAATACACATGACTTGGAACTTACTTAGAACAAACTCGCCTTCCTTTTGCCCTAGTCTAAGATCAGAGCAGACCCTACTCCCTCAGTACAGTCCCGTTCACGTCTCATCAAATCCGATCACACGCTCCCCTAGCTCAGCAGGAGCACCAATAATTCAAACCCCAACCGTTCTGGTCCCCTCCCTAGTCCATCTACCCAGTGAACCGGAAGCCTCGCCGAGACGCCGAGAGGGCACCGGGCCGCCGGGTTCGCTCCTCGGCTGTCCCCAGCACAATCCAACCATCCATCGTGCTGCTAACGTGCCCCGTCGCTAGTCGGCAAAATCCGAGACAAAAACGACACGCGTGGTGGGCAAAACCGGCGCAAGGCGCACGACTGGGCTGTGTAGAGAGTGGAGGGAGGGGAGAGAGGGATTAACGGGAGCAGGCCGAGGCATGGAGGGGATTATAAGACGCTGAGAGGGGTTTGGCGGTGCTGAGTAGGTTCAGCCCGCGGCTGAGCTGAACTTGCTAGCGGTACACAGTGGGTGAAACAGTTACCTTGACAACAGACGGAAAACATTACAGGAACAATGTCGCTCGCCGTCACGCAGGCATTGACGTGCATAGCATGGCGAGGAGCGTACAAAACAAAACAGAGGGCCTGTCTAGACGGCATTCCGTTGGCGGTTCGCAGTTCATTCGCCCTTACAGACACTGACCTGTGACCTTTACCCCGCCTCCAGACCAGACCGTGACCCGTGCCACATTTGGCGGAGGGTCACAGAGGCCAGACCGCCCACGCTATTCGCTGTCTGGATGCTCCGACACCGCACCCGAGCGGTGCACACTGGTCGGAAACGCCCTCACGAGAGGCCACGGGCGATTCCGGAGTTTCGGATTATTTTTATATAGATCGATTTGAAATTGATCAAATTATTATACTTAGGCCAAAAAAACTAATCCGGGTGACCAAAAATAACTGTAATCAGCCCCCGAAGATGGGGTATCCCAGAACTCGGAAACTGACGCGGAGCAAGAGGTTTCTTGAGCCGGATATTCAGAGTCTTATTGCTGATAGACACCATATTGAAATCCCACATATTATGCATCAAAATGTTCGTTATGAAGTTGCCGACTGGTCAGTGCAAAATTTTTGGCATACTAAATCCCTAACTAAGATGCACTATAGCTTTTTATGAAGGCTCTCCTACAGTGATTCTGGAATATAACTGCAAAGTTTAGGTAAGGAAACAACAGGTAGTCCCATCTAGTTCCACTCTGATTTTTTGTGAGATGAAGTAGGATTTAAATTTACACCAGGGCAACATAAAAGCTAACTGCGCATATTTGCGCAAAATTTGCAGGAGCCGCTCTTCCTACCCAACTACCGCCCGCCCCGCCCCAGTTTCGGCTCGGCCGCCGCGCCCGGCTTACGCTGACCTGTGTGGCCTGCACGCATCCATGCGTAGTTGACTGGTCATTAAAAACAGATGCGCTTGAGTTTATGAATTTTGTGAAAAGCGCGTGTTATGTATGCATTTATGTATGTATTGACATCAAAAGCCTTCCACACATTGCGTGGCGATTACGGCTTGCATTTAGAGAGCCTTGCTATTGACAACCATCACTCGGCTGAAGAAAGTGGAAATTGAAACTTTCGTGAATATAAGACGCTGCAAATATAGGACACCTGTCACTGACGTCGGGTTACCTTGGGCCGTCTTTTGACATTAGATCACAATTCCGGTATTCAACCCTGGCCGGACCGATTGGTTTTCTATATTGACCGGGGAGGGTCGGTACAACTCCCTCGCCGTTTCGCCTCTAATTGAGCTAGAGCCTCGCGGAAAAAAACAAGCTTGTGTGCCGTTATAAGACGCAAAAATTAGGTAGGGTGAATAGGTCAAAAACGCCCCCATTAAGCGCGAAACCTTCTGACACTCAACCCAACACAGATTACTCAAACCTTTGGGCACCATCATGTAGCTCATTCTTTTTACTACGCTTTGAGACCAAGAAAAGACACCTGCGTGTGGTATTTAACCCCCCAAAAAGGTTTTCGCATACCCTTACAAAAGGGCGTTTTGCCCCACACCCTGGGTAATACGCCCACACCCATGTGCAAAGCGCCCCCACCCCATCCAGCAACAGAAAATGATGAACATGGCAGAACTTGACGTCATTCTGAAGTCATTTGTGATCAACCTATCAGTATCATAGCCTTTGGAATACAATTTTGTTGCAATGTGTAAAATAGATGCCCAGAGGAGTCCTGAAAGTTTGGTGACGATATCTGCAGTCGTTTAGGATATATCAACAAAAAAGGAAGGGGAGGCCTTTTCGGCACCCACCTACAGGGCGCTACCCTGCACTCTCACCACCGTGCAAAACGCCCCCCTTTCAGAAAACTGGGGGCGTCTTGCCCCATGCATCGAGTAGGCGTCTTTCCCCATCCACTC